AAAAAAAAAAAAAAAAAAAAAAAGTATTACAGTAAAAGACACGTTGTCATCAATTCCTCTTGAATCATTCCCCTCAAGCAAACATACTTAAATCATCAAGTGGTTTTACAAAAACTCTTTCTCAAGTGGTTTTACAAAAACTCTTGTATCTGTATGAGGCTTGAAAAAACATTACTTCTACTGATCCATTAGCAAAATTTTTGCTTCCTGTCCCCACAATCTTACGTTCTGCTGGCTTTTTTTTTTTTTTTATTGTTCTGTTGGCTTAAAAGTCTTAGTTCCAGAGGTGGGAAGGCCTGTACCAGGAAGCACAACAATGATACCGTTAAACTGGAAGCTAAGATTTCCCCCTGGTCATTTTGGTCTCCTCATGCCTTTGAGAAAACAAGCTAAAAAGAGAGTCTCAGTGTTGTCAGGGGTAATTGATTCAGATTATCAAGGGAAAATTAGACTACTACTCCACAGTGGTGGAAAAATATATGTAGAGTGCAGGAGATCCCTTAGGGCACCTCTTAGTATTACTATGCCTTGTTATTAAAATCAGTAAAAAATTACAACAACCTAATATAGGCACAATGACAAATGGCCCAGAGCCTTCAAAAATAAAGATATGATTCACTCCACCAGGGAAAAAACCAAGACTGCTGAGGTGCTTGCTAAAGGCCAAAAAAATACAAAATGGGTAGTAAAAAAAAGATCTAAATACCAACTGTGACCCTGCGATCAGCTACAAAAAAAAGCTTATAATGATACTATTTCTCCCCTAATATGGTTCTAATATAATATAATGTTGATAGACTTAATACTGGTCCTTAAAAATTGTTAAACTGTGTTATAATGTTCAAGTTGTAAAATAATAAAAATAAGTATCACCCAAAGAAAATTTACCTTCTATTTTGGTGAAAAAAATTAGTGCATTTATGTTTATATGTAGGATAGTTATAATATGTTAGAGGTAATTATATGTCTTTATATCTAAAAACTGGTCTTTATATCTTTATATCTAAAAACTGGTTTTAAAAATATGTCTGATTGCCAAGTTGACAAGGGGTAGATTGTTATGGTTGATATACTGCATCAATCTGGGGAGTCTAGAGGTTTGGCTAAGTGACTCAGCAGTTCTATATCTTGGGGTAAAAAGGACATGCCCTTACCCTTCTGGGATGTTGTTTATTGTGTCAATTTAAAAAGTTTAAAAGGTTAACTATGTGACTCAGCAGGGAGCCAGGGTGCTTACTTTATATTCATCCTGAGCCTGTGCAAGAGGAAGGCATGCAGGGGGTGTGGGTATAGAAGACCACCGAGCGGGTAGGCTGCATAAAAAAAAATAAATAAATAAATAAAAAAGGACTGGCTGCTGGCACTTCAGAGGAGCTCCAGTATTCGCCTTCAGCTTGGTCATCTCCTGGCTTCTAGTGCAGACTGTTTGGCTTCCGCCTGAGACTCTTCAGCCTTCTGGTGTAAACTCTCTGGCCATTGTCATAGATTCTTCAACATTCTGTCCCAGACCCATCAGCCTCCTGATACAGACTTACACAGACACTGGAGTGAGCTCCAGGCCTGGGGCTGGGCTCTTCAATCTCCAGCATGAGGACATCCTCTGCACGCTTCCTCGTCCAACTCTGTGGCTGACCATTGTAAGCCAAACTTATAATTTCTTATACATGTATATATCTTGTGTTATATCTGTTTCTCTAGTAAACCCTAAATGATAAAAGTGAGCAGTATGAGATCTCTTAGGATATCTCCTTCTTTACTGCGAATTCTTATTAAGATCAATGGATAACTCCAGCAATCTAAGGAGGCAGAATGAAAAATGACCCAGATCATCAGGAATGAAGGGATGAGTTATTCCCAAGATAAAGAATCAAGATAGGCTGAAGTGCCTCTTGAAGGCCAAGGGTACATAAAATAGGTAGTAGAAAGTAGTTAAAGGGGATAATCAAAATATACAGTGAATGCTTAAATAAAAAAATTTATTGCACTAAAAGACACATTGTCATCAATTCCTCTTGAATCATTCCCCGCACTCAAACATACTTAAATCATCATTCTTGTCCCTTTCTCAAGTGGTTTTACAATCCCTCTTTTGTATGTTTATGAGGTGTGAAAAAGTATCTGGTAAATGTTGCTGTCAAGTCTTTGTTCACCTTATTTACCAGATCTGGCACCATGTGTACTCTGGCTGGTCTCTAAGTGCAAAATGAATACAGCAAGTAAACATTTTGAATCTGTTAAGGAAGCCAAGGCAGCCAAGATGGCCCAACAAGACCTGAAAGAGAGCTTCTGTAACTGCTTCAGAAAGTGGCAAGAGTGATGGGATAAGTGTGTCTGAAGCAAAGGTGAGCGTTTGTGTCGGAAAAGTGTTAAGCATTTCAAAGTATTTGAGCATTCATTGTATTTTTTATCATATCTTCTGTCTATACTGTATACACCCATATGACAAGTTACAGAAGAAAGAATTGTAATTGTCATGAGTATTTCTTTCCTATTTTGTTAAGCATATGTTTCTTCATATATACAGGAATTACACAGATATCTTTGTTTTCTTTCCTTGTTTTCCTCTACCTTGTATTCCTAGAACATTGGTTGATTTAACATTTCTACTTAAGTATTGCTAATGTACATCTTAGTATTTAAGTTATGGGATGTTAGTCTAGTAAACATCATGCAAAAGTTTAAAAATTTCTGCATTCTATTATGGAGGAGGGAATTATAGTAAGTCCCTGGCTTATGAATGAGTTTCCTTGCAAGAGAATTGTTCATAAATTAGATTTGTTTCTAAGCAGACAGAGGGAGTCTTACACAGCACACCTGTGAAAGTTCGAAACTCGAACGTTCCTAAGTCAGGGACTTACTGTAGTGCATTTCTGGTTGTCTGCAGAGTCCCTGCATCATGTAAGGTGGCATTACGAATGTACTATTGCCTATAGTTGCACATTAAGTGTGGGTTAAAGAGAAATATGTGGGTGTCAAGTTGACAAAGGTGAATTGTGATGGTTAATCCTGATTGCCAACTTGATTGGATTAAGAGATGCATAAGAGATTAGTAAAGCGCGCTCTCGGCGTGTCTGTGAGGATGTTTGCAGACATGATTGGCACAGAGGCCAGCGAATGGAGGGGAGAAGATGTACCAGGATTGTTGGTGGCACCACTCGGTAGGCTTGCAGTGTGGATGGAATGCAAAAGGAAGACAAGGCTTATCAGCCTGCCCCGGTTCCCTTGATTCTGCTGAACTGTGTGTCTTTTGCTGTTGCCCTGTCCAGTAGACATCAGATTCCATCTTCTTCAGCTTTTCAATTTGGACTCACATCAGTGACTCTCCAGGGAGTTTCCAGGCCTTAAGCCTGGAATTGGGCTGCATCCTTGGTCTTTGTTGTTCTGAGGTTTCCAGCTTCTTGCACTAAGAAGCTTCTGGGTCCTTGGCTCTTCAGCGTTCAGATGGTCATTGTGCACTATCCAGCCTATTATCCTGTAAGCCAGTCTAATAAATCTATTCTGTATATGTTCTACCACATCTGTTCCTCTAGAAAACCCCAAACAAACACGGGCAATATTTTATATCCCTTCATGTTGAAACAAATTTCTGCCTTAAAGGAAGAAAGGTGACAGGTATGACTGTGTTACTGATGAGATGTCCTGGTGGAGCTTGTACCGCAGGTCCCAATAACACAATGATTTCATAGGACATTTGCATCCCCATCTCATATCATGGACAAATGTGGATCAGGAACTGGGGCTGCGCCATAATGCAGGGACTCTTACAGCTAGAGGTCATGGCCAGGCCTGGGTATGACACTGCGTGGAGTCCTCAAATGTCCACTCTGGACACTCTTCTGTCTTGCCTAGGAAGTGGGAGAGGTGTCTGATCCCTTGGAGCCCTGGTCTTCCACCCTAAGTCACACTCCCGCTCTGCCCACGGCACTCACTGCCCCTGAGCTGGTCAGCAGGACAGTCTCTAGTTGACTGGCAGTGCATTTCAGGGGGATATAATGAAGAGGGGTTCCTTTGACATCTTACCTCCCACTCTATCTCATTCTTACATTTAGATTCACAGATAGGGCTGAAATGCTAATCAGATATTTTGTATAACCTTTAGCCAGATAACTGACATGTCCAGTTCCCCCAAAATCCCTAAAGGAACACAAAGAAACCACATAGTGTGTGTCTGCCCCTTGTCCTGGGGCCCTTCCCATTTCACAGAGCCTGGTCCTGTACACGAAGTCCTCATTCCTTGTAAAGCATCAAAAAACCTTCCGATTTGCAAGTGTCCTCTTCTTCCTGAAATTTCTGCTGAATTAAAATCTCACGTGGGGACACCCCTTTTTGGCTTGACCCTAGTGGCCTGAACCTCCGATTGCCCACTCTGCTAAGCTCCTGAGAAGGGAGAGGGGAGGATAAGTTTGTTTTTTTCACCATCTGGCTTGTGTCCAAGTGCACCCCTATTTCACTACGGACCCAGCAGAGGCAGGTAGGTTCAAGGACCCTTGAGCAGGCCTGAGGTAGGAGAGGGGCAAGCGCTGCATTTGCCTTCTGAGAGCCCAGACCCTAAGGTCCCTTACTGTCTCCAACCACTGGCTCTTACTCCCCATGCTTTCTGGGAGCAGGCACCACCCACGGGTTAAAGTCTCTCCAGGTGGGCGGGGGCGAAAGGAAAATTAGAGGGGCGGGGCGGAACCCACCACTAGGCCCCGCCCCAGCCTCTCCTGCTCAGCCTGATAAAGACCCGGTTCCGAGCTGCTGAGGCCTGTCTGCACAATCCAGGGAACCAGCACCATGCCCATGATACTGGGTTACTGGAATATCCGCGGGGTGAGTGAGGTGTCTGCCTGAGGGGTAGGAGGAGGCCCAGGTGGGAGGGTGACCCGGGATGGGGACATGAACAGCTGGCAAGGATTGTAGGAACTACATCTTCAAGGTTTGCTGGAGTCCTCTGCCTGTCCCTTTTCAACACTCACAGAACTCCTCACCTGTGAGCCTAAGTGTGTGTGTGTATGCATCCGTGCATATGTGTGATAGGTGGGTGTTCCTGGAGTGTGGAGGTCTTAGCGAGAGCAAGTGAAGTCCCATGGGCAAGGTTCTGCCTCTGATGTGTGCCTCACCCTCTCTCCCAGCTAAGTCATCCCATCCGCCTGATCCTGGAATACACAAACTCCAGCTATGAAGAGAAGAGATACACCATGGGGGACGGTAATGGCACTCTCCTGCCCAGACTCCAGTGCAGTGCTGCCCATTGGCACCTAGCAACCCGTGCCCTGGCCACCTGTTGCTCACGTGGGCAACTCTCCTGCCAGGAGCCAACTCCTTCCAGAAACCTTAATGAGGGTGAAGTTCGGCTTTAAGACACAGGTTGCTGCAGTGGAGTTCTGGGTCCCTCTCAGTGAGGGCTGGGCTTCCCATTAGAGCTTGTGAAAATGTTTTGAGAGCCTCAGTCATATAGGATCCTCAGCCCTGAATGCTGATCTCCCCTCCAAGCTCCAAACCATGAAATGTGAGACTGCAGACTCAGGATCAGATCCACTGCTAGGAGGTCTTGTCCCTGATTCCTTGGGGGCCAGGTCCCAGGGGAGAAGGGTGGGATACCTGGGACATTGTATTTACTTCATGTTTTCAACCACAGCTCCCGACATTGACAGGAGCCAGTGGCTGAATGAGAAATTCAAGCTGGGCCTGGACTTCCCCAATGTAGGTGAGGGGTTGGGGAGGGGGTTGAGGAAAGGAAAACCTTCCATATCTTATCCCACCATGGAATGTCTAGGATCAGAACTCCTGTTCCACTATTCTCATTCCTGTCTGTCTACCTTGTCTTCCCACCCACCTCATTCAATTTTTCTACTGTATATTTACACATGCTTGTGCTGGCAAGCACAATGAGGGTCAGGTCTCATGTCTGCCCTAAATCGAGGAAGGGATGCTGGGACCTAGAATCCCAAGGGACTTTTCCTGCATGTCCCTGCAGCTGCCCTACCTAATTGATGGGAGTCACAAGCTCACCCAGAGCAACGCCATCCTGCACTACATTGCCCGCAAGCACAACCTGTGTGAGTAGACCTGGCTATAGGGTGTGGGGATGGACAGTGGTCTTGCACCTGGGTTTGGCTACAGCAGATACTCAGGCTGAGTCTCTGTTATGGGCTTCAGGTGCAGAGACAGAAGAGGGAAGGATTCGTGTGGACATGTTGGAGAACCAGCTTATGGACACCCGCATGCAGCTCGTCATGCTCTGCCATGGCCCTGATTTTGTGAGTCCCCCATGGGTCTGGAGGAGACAGAATTTGGAACAGGACTTAACCTCTTGTGTACACATCTACCCTGTGTTTATATGACATATGACTTGGTAAATGTGTACTGATTCTTTAAGATTTCCTCTTTGATGATTAAACTGACCCTTATAACCCCAATCTGTGGTCCACTAAACACTGGGAATCATCCCTTGCCAATTTTGTGACAGAGACTCGATTCCCAAATGTGGATATTCTATCCTTGATATGACTATAGACTTTAAAAGCCCTTTCATCGCTCTCTCCTTTAACATCTGCCATCCACTGTCTGTCCTAGATTTATTCACTGTAAGGCTGCTTCTGGAATACCGTGATCCTAACACTGGGACAAAGAAGTACAGTATAAGGGGCTGGGGATTTAGCTCAGCGGCAAAAGCGCCTGCCTGACAAGCGCAAGGTCGTGAGTTTGGTTCCCGGTACCGGAGAAAAACCAAAAAAAA